TGGCCATCTTGTGATGACGTTGTGGCAGCCATCTTATGACAACATCACGCAGCACCACCTAGACTTTTATTATATAGGATTTATTGATTTGAGAGATTTATCAATTTGTTGTTCCATTTATTTATGCATTCGTTGATTGGTTCTTTTATGTGCCTGACCAGAGGATTGAACCTGCAGCCTTAGCATATCTGGACAACTCTCTAACCAACTGAGCTACCAGCCCAGGCCATTTGTTTATTTTTTCAATATGATTTCACTTATATGTTAAATCTAATATACAAAATAAAATAGAAACAGGCTTACAAATACAAAAAGGCAGACTGAGCTGTCAGCAGAGAGTGAGGAGGGTGGCTGGGTTTATACATGAAGGGATTAAGCAAAAAAAAAAAAAAAAAAAAAAAAAAAAAAAAAAAAAAAAAAGGAAACTTCATAGACAGACAACAGTATGGTGATTACCAGAGGGATAGGGGATTGGAGAGGTAGAAGGTAAAGAGGGGGGTAAATAGTAATGGAAGGAGACTTGACTTGGGATGGTGAACACAGAGTATATTATATAAATGATGTATCTCTGAAACCTATATAATTTTATTAACCAATGTCACCCCAGTACATTCAGTTTTAAATGTTTTTAATTAACATTTCTGCTCTTTTTACCTACAAAAATGACAATTTTATATTGTTTAAAGTAATATGTATGCCTGGACTACATCTCCAAAAGTTCTGGTTCAGTAGAGCTAAAGAATATTTATTTAGAAGCTCATGGGTGATTCCATGTCTTTTTCTTTACATTTATTTTTCTTTATTGATTAAGGTATTATATATGACTCCACGTCTTTTTGAGAAATATTAAACTGGCCATCTCTCAACTCCCTTCCTAAAGGCCTGTTTGTTTTCTAATTTACTATTTGCAATAATTGCATGTTAGTTTTCTGCCACTAGGTGGGAGTAATGTGCCACTATTACACCAAGGAGCTGTGTTACCTTGAAATTCATCATGGTGGCTCTCAGTTCAAGCCCAGTATGCTAATAATGGAACATCTCCATGTATTTTGACATCTGTAAAGAATGAATTTCTAAGAAAAAAGCTAATGAAATGATTCATTAGCTCATCTTTTAGAAATAAAACTCCAAAATCATGTGCTTAATATATTTCCCAACTAACTCACAGTTTCAGAACTTGCTCTGTTCTTTCTACATACTTCATCCATTCCACCCAAAACTCCATGTACTGGCTTGTATTGTCCCTGTTCTCTGTGTGGCCTCAAACTCCCGACCCCTAGAACTAATGTCTCAGCTCATTCATTTCTCAGTGAAACCCTCTCCAAAATTGCCCCCCAATTAGTCAAGATCCTGCTTCTACATTTATGAGCATACAGCTACATTTAGATGAAAGATACCTACCATCTTTCCACCCTTCTCTTTCTTCTCACGCTTCTAATCTTTCTCCCTCTTACATGTTCATAAGCTTTACATATTTTATTAGTTTAACTTCTTAAATCCTTAAAACTCTGAGAAACCCCGAGGAATGCTGAAAAGTTGAGGGTGGGGGAAAGAGAAGGAAGACCAAGTCCTCATTCTGTCTGACCTGCAAAGTTTGGTGTTTATTTGTGTCACAGAGGTTAACCCTTTTCCTCTCTCCCTTTAGGGCTCACTCTTTATAATCCCACTTGACCCCTCCTATCTAGCATCTTATAACTCTCCTTGTGGCCATGACTGTTGACTTAGTCCAAAGGAAAAATCTCTTCTCTAATTCTTAGCTCTTCTCGTCTAGGCTTTTACTCAACTGGCTTAATGAAAAATAAATGGTGCTGTGAAGAGAAGGGTTTTTGTTAGCTTCTATGCTAACATTCTGGAACTGTATTAGTGGTGGTCGATGTTAACTTGAGTTTAATTCATGAAAATGAAAAAGTAACATCCATTTTGTTAATGACTCAGTCATTATTCAAGAACTGTATCTAGTCTAGGTTTCAGGGTTTTGAAGAAAGTAGAGAAATTGGAGATGATCCAGAGAAGAAATACTAAAGGTAGAAAAGACCCTAGAAAGAAAAGTGGCAGATGCTATGATTTGGTGAATAGACTAAATATTAATTGTTAGTTTGGCAGCCCCCCCACTACTACTTCCCTTTGAAGAAAACAAAGATATCACTCAGACATCCTCCATATCTAGTGATCATAAAATAAAATGGATCATAGAATAAAATGAAACATTGTCAAGCAAGCAAAATTCAGCCTCAGCTAAAGAAAAAGCAAATAATGTCGTTCCTAGATATTTGCAGTGATAGATTCAGACACAGAGGGTCTGCATGATGGTACAATCTAAAAAAAATAAAAATAAGAAATACCTTTTAGCTTTCACAAAGATTGCGTCTCAGACTAAACTGAATACCTAGACAGCTGGCTTCTTGGTATCTCTTTCTAAGGATGACTGCTTCTGTTACCATTTATATTTTCTTGAATTCTCACCATTAAGCCCCAAAGAAAGCTTTCCTTCTTCTCACTTCCTCTTCACAGAGGAAATAAAAAATAACCCACAGCTTTAGATATTTCAAGAAAAGAGAAATTGCTTCACAGAAGAGGCCAGACTTGATATAAGGAAGGTTTAAACTACAACAGAGAGACAAGCCTTGCCCACGTTGAGGTTAGTGAGCAGTTTGACAGAGAGCAGAGAAGAGATGAGTTGTCAGCACCCTGCTCTCTCTCTCTCATCCCAAGTTGGCTTCCAAAAGGAAGGAATTGAGTTCTTATCACCATATCCATTGACTTAAGCCACATAGTCCTCCAGCTATTGCAAAAGGAAGCAGGTGTACTAGACTATTTTTCCCGAGTGCCTCACATACCTTCCACCTGCTCATTATAGAGAAATCAGAAAGCACATATAAGCAAGGGGAAAAATGAAAATCACCTGTGGCCTCACCAACCGGTGCCAAATCTTTTTATTTGGGGGCATAATTTTCCAAAGTTTCTTCTGTGTTAAATATATGGATTCTTCTTTTCAAAAATTAGATTATATTGTCTTTAATCTTTAGTTATTCTTTTAAATCAGCAGTATATTTTAATACCTTTTTGTGTCAATAATTTTATGTCTGAAATCCCATTTTTAACGGTTGCTGAATATGTGAATATCCAATATGATTCTTCCAATTCATTAATGTTGGACATTTAGCATCCTTCTAAATTTTTTATATTACAGATAATGCTATGATGGACATCCTTGCAGATAAATATTTGTACTGCTCTCAACATCCTTTTAGAATATACCTAACTGGTTTGGCTCAGTGGATAGAGCATTGACCTGTGGCCTGAAGGGTTCCAGGTTCAATTCTGGTCAAGGGCATGTACCTTGGTTGTGGGCATATCCCCAGTAGGGAGTGTGCAAGAGGCATCTGATCGTTGTTCTAATTCTCTATACCTCTCCCTTCTTCTGTAAAGAAAATCAATAAGATGTATATTTTTTTTAAAAAAGAATATATACTCCCTAAAAAAAGCAATTATTGGTTCAAGAGAGAGGTCATTTTTAAGGATTTTGATACAATTGCCCAATTGCTGTCCAGAAAAATCTTTAGGTGAGAGAGTATAGCTTTCCAACCTGCCCATCACTCTGCCAGATCTTCAGGATTTATCTCCCCCCTCCAGTGGCACTAAGCCTACTAGTGTCCCCTTGGTTGGCATCCTCTAAAAATATGAGGATGATAATACTCTTGAACACTTCATGGCTCTGCTTCATAGAATTAACTCTGGTCCCTTTTCTTTCTTCAGAGCACTGCAAATCCACTGAGAGATAACAATAAAAAGATAACCCCCGAACCACCCTTATCATTGGATATTAAGAAATGGGCTTCTGCTGAAATCGGTTTGGCTCAGTGGATAGAGCGTCGGCCTGTGGACTGAACGGTCTCAGGTTCAATTCTGGTCAAGGGCATGTACCTTAGTTGCGGGTACATCCCCAGTGGGGGGTGGAGGGGGTGCAGGTGGCAACTGATCCATGTTTCTCTCTCATTGATGTTTCTAACTCTCTATCCTTCTCCCTTCCTCTCTGTAAAAAATCAATAAAATATATTTTTAAAAGACAGAAATTGGCTTCTAAATAACATATGGATTAAAGAAGAATTCTATTGAAAATTAAGGCATCTTTGCAATGGAATGATAATAATACTACATGGCAAAACTTGTGGGTTGCTATTAAAACATAGCTAAAAGGAAACCTTGCAGCTTTTAAGAATAAATACTGAAAATTAATGAGCTCTTAAAGATCCAACTCAAGTAATTAGCAAAAATGAGTGAATGAATGAAATCTTTGAAGTCAGCAGTTCCCTACTTGTTTTTGAACACCCTCTCAGCTCCAACACAGTGCTTAACAAATAAGTGGAACTTGATGAACATCAGATTGGATTTGTTAAATCATAAAGGTCATGATACTAAACACTTGGTATTTTTAGATTGTCAGGGTTGAATATTCCCAATCTGATTGATCTGCCAAAATAATCCATCCTAGCATCCTTAACTTCTTGGGCCAGTAGATTCTGACTTGGGGAATGCAAGACACCTAAAGGTTGGTGAATTTCAGAGGGTTAGTAGAGGTTACCAACTTCCCTGAGTTACAATAAGGATGCATTTTCCCTATCTCTGGACATCCAGAGAAGTGTTTTGTGTTTATTCTACTAAAATATATATAGGAAATAAAGGTTAAATAAAAGTGTCTTTGTACTGTTACATCAACACATCGCTTTGACCATCAGAAGCCAAGAACAGGGCCTGGCAGCCGTCAGCTGGTGTTCAAGAAAGTTTTGCCTGTGTAAGGGACAGAGGATTGGACTCTGGGGATTAATTTTACTCAAGGAAAAAGAAGTGACTTTAATTTCATTAATGGCCTCCTGGATGGTTCCGCTACAAGTTTAATTCTCATTAAATATTAATGCCACCCAGTTCTTAATATACTGCCTTTAGTATCATACAACTCAAACTGACACTAACCTGTTTTATATTTTATAACTGAATCACAGGGCTTTTTCAGGAGAAGTCAGCAAAGCAATGCCACCTACTCCTGTCCTCGCCAGAAGAACTGTTTGATTGATCGAACCAGTAGAAACCGCTGCCAACACTGTCGATTACAGAAATGCCTTGCTGTAGGGATGTCTCGAGATGGTGAGCACTCAGCTTGCATTGTAGGGTGGTGACATGGGGCTAGGAAAGTGCCTTCCAAAACCAAGGCCCAGATCTGCCAAAATATGCCCTCCACCCCTGGCGGTTTTGTGGGTTTCACGGCAGTTACTTCCTCCTCCATAATCTACCCCACTCAGCTGGCTGGCTAATGGCATGGTGCTTGGAAAGTGTGGTCAGAACACCTTCGGGTTTTTGGGTTGTTGTTTTTTTTTTTATGATTAAGATATTACACGTGGATGAATTGATCAAAGGTTAGTGTCATCTGAGGGCCTTAATAAATATACCTTCTACAGGCATTTTCCCATTGTTACATGCTGTACACTCGTGAATTTATTGGCCTTTGGTTTGAATTGGCTTTTATGCTAACTGCATATTTTGAATCACATACCAAAGTCAAATATTTGTACATGCAGAATGTGTGAAAATAGTGCAAAATGTGGCTCGATGACAAATGTTCTTTTTATTAAAAGAGGCTATTTTAAGAAATAGAGACCATCTACCACTCAGTTGCAGAACATTTTAAGATCTTCCTGGAAAACTATCTTAAGTGCACTGAATAATCAACACCAGATTTCAAAGCAGTTATTCTTATATAAGGAAACTGGGCAGAAAGTACAGCGGGTACATTTTTCAGGACTTTTCCGAGTATACTGGCTGGCTCTCTTAAGAGATCCTTTTGAAGGAAACAAACTTCAGGATGCTGGGCAGGCCTTCTGAAAGCCAGTCTTCCCAAAATCAGATATGCTTGGGGCCTGGGGACCTGCCCAGGCACAAGGGGTGATGACCTCCCATAGGGGGTACAGGGTGGTCTCTTAGAATATATAGAAACAAGATCTACATTTTCGCCATCAGAATATGCAAGTCACAGAACTCACACTGTATTCTCAGAAACTCCTGAGTGCTAGGCAGCTCTGCAGAGTTCATCCTCAAAGTTGGGCTCATCTCTTAGAAACTTATAAGTTAAAAACACAGGCTGTGTGTGCGTTTTCTCAGTAGCAGATCTTTACATTTCACCTACAAGATGGTGTGATTACTGTTGTTAATATTCAGGCAGATGTTAAAACACCGTTCAGAGTCACACAGAACAAGTTTCACCTATGGGTATTGATCCCCTTGGGTGTTCTAGAACACAGATTCTTCCACACAGATAAAATGCCTTCGGTATGCCTCCTGGAAGTTTTGTATAGAAGGGACAGTGCACGTTGTTGTGGGCTTAGAGTGAATTTGAGGGCTTATACAAATTTAGGCTTGGCATTCAAAGCCCACATCAGCCTACATGCTGTCTAACCTGCCCCATCCAAGTTTGTTTCTTCAGTCCTAGAATGTAGAGAGATTCACCAGTATCAAGCTCACTCGTTTCCTCTCTGCAAAAGGACAGTGAGTGTTCTTCTTGGTAGAAAAAGAATCCAACAGGTGGTGGCCCTAGTTCCCAACTTCATATCCATTTATCCCGCCTCTTTCCCATAGACTCACAGAATTATGATGATGGTCAAGTAGTTGAATTCACCCACCCCATCAAGTATAAATTTACCCACCCCATCAAATATAAATGTAACCAACAATCAATTAGGACATCTTAGTTCCTCTAGCAGAGGCTTAATCCACATATGCAGGGTTGAGCTGAAAATAAAATGAGTTGAGCTCAAACCCAGAAATCATAGAGTTTTTTTCCCTCAGAAAAATGGGTGTTTCAGGAGAAATCGTTTGGGATTCTGAATGAACTAGAGAGTTATTACAGTAATTGCTCCGCTTTAAATAGGGAACCTCCCGAGGAGAAGTATTGCAAACACAAATTTGTCTGACAGGAAGGGATCCTACACAGTGTTTGCCCTTTCTAGAATGCTGATACTCTTTTTTACTTGAAGCAAAATAAGAACAGTAGAGAGTGTCATGTAAATGTGGGTCCAAGCATGTACAAGGGCCACCATGACCCAGCATAGGGGAGCGGCTTCTCAGGGAGACTCAGAGATGTGTTCAGGTCGCTCAGTGAAGCCCCAGGCTCAGCTGTTTGATCAGGAAGAAACTCATTTGAGTGTTCAGAATAGTGGGATAAATGAAAATGGAGGTCTGACTGCTTGTGTCTTGATGTTCCTCTGAGTCGGTGCATTAATCTGAACACCATGAAGAGAAAGTGATGGTCCAGCAAGGCCACGTGAGTGGGGAGTGAACAAACTCACTTGGTAGCATACTAGTGGCTCCCACTGAGCACAGGGCCTTATGACAGCAGGAAGCCATGGGGGGTCATTGACCCAGGTCTCCCTACTTACTCATCCTTTGTTCCTCTGGGATATGTCTTTGCCATTGCGGGTGCGAGGTGGGTCTGTTGGATCACATCCTTATTTTGTGGTTATGTGGGTTTTGATTGAGATTGTCTGAGATTTCAAAGGAACCCGGGTCTAAAGCATGCCGGAGAGGAGAGTGAAGAAAAGCACATTGTATATGGTGTGGTTGGCTTGTGTCTTCCAGCTGTAAAATTTGGCCGCATGTCAAAGAAGCAGAGAGACAGCTTGTACGCAGAAGTGCAGAAACACCGGATGCAGCAGCAGCAGCGCGACCACCAGCAGCAGCCTGGAGAGGCCGAGCCGCTGACTCCAACCTACAATATCTCGGCCAACGGGCTGACGGAACTACATGACGACCTCAGCAACTACATCGATGGGCACACCCCCGAGGGAAGCAAGGCAGACTCTGCCGTCAGCAGCTTCTACCTGGACATACAGCCTTCCCCGGACCAGTCAGGTCTTGATATCAATGGAATCAAACCAGAACCAATATGTGACTACACACCAGCATCAGGCTTCTTTCCCTACTGTTCCTTCACCAATGGAGAGACTTCTCCGACTGTGTCCATGGCAGAACTAGGTAATGGCTTCCATGTTTCTGTTGGGATGTGCTACTTATGCCCTAGGAAGTAAACAGGATGTGCCTGGCTTTCCTCTAGTGAGTTATGTTCTTAAAATGGTAGAGCTAGAAGGGAAATTCACCTTTACCCTTTGCATTATTTCATAATCCCACTTGCCCCCTTGCTTGACCATCCATTGTTTCCGTTATATACACAAGAGAAACATTGACCTCTTAGCTTCAGAGATGGGTTGACATGAACTTAAAGCAGTCTTAAAATGCCACAGAAAACTGGTAAGTTCAGGGAATGGCTCCATTCATTAGTTATTTACTTACTTATAGTCCATGTATTGCTTTATACCGGAAGTCACAAAAATGGCAGTCCACAAACTGAATCTGGCCCATAATATATTCTTGGATTCGTACAGAGTTTTAAATTTTTGAATCAGTTGCCAAAATGTAAAAACTTGATCCACATAAAAATTCACGTTGTCAGCTTCTTATGAGAGGGAAAAAATGATCTAGGCACAAGGGACCAGCAACAACTAAGTGGCATCAGTGAGGGGCTAACACCTTTAGATGGGCCCGCCCCACTCCCCCCATCTGTGTGATTGCCCATGCCGCAAGTTTTGCAATCCTGGTGAATGCTATACATATTAAAGGGAAATTGGCTTCTTTATTTGCCAGAAAGTTTTGATGATGGATATTGGTGACAAAACTGATGTCTTTTATAGAAGACTCACCATACCAAAACAAAACAAAACAAAAAAAAACACACAACAGGACAAAAGAAAAATATCCTATCAATTTCTTATTCCTGTGACATATTTGCTTCTTGGGTGATGTGGCCTAGAAATGTTAATAACACCGACAATGAAAATCTTTCCATTTCAAGGAGGCTGTGTTAGCATCCTCTGATATTTAATCGCTCTTTAAGGACAGCACTGCTGTCAGAGGAACTTGGATAAGAACCTTGGCGGTCTTAGGATTTGATCTGTCCCTCTCCATGACTCCTCACACAAGGTTATAATCCTTTGGGATCTTTCAATTAGTTGCTGTGGCGATGGCTAAGTTTATATGCGGAGAGAATAAAGACTTCAGATGGAAAGGCACCAGTGGGTACTGACTCGGGCACCGAAATCCTCAGTTCACAGGAAGAGCTGCTGTGCTCTTCAGATGGTTTCTCCACCTCTGTACCCCATAAACCATTTTTAAGTGAAATTTATATTTCCAGTAAAATATTTCTCCAAATAGAACAAATTGAATGTTCTTCACGGTTTTTGCACAAGCGCCTCTTTATGGGGCTAAATTTAAATCCTCAAGAGCAGGGCCATTTTAAGCTCGGTCTGTAACCACTGAGCAGCGTTCAAGGTGGATCGCAGCTCTTTTGATTAACAGAGAAACCTCTGAACTAGAAGCCAAGCTGAGCAGAGGTAGGTTTGATTTTATTTTTTCTTGAACTAGAACAAAAACCTTCCATTTTTGTCGTGAAATCTTGGTTGGCTGAGCCTTAAGCAGAACGGTAATGAAAGTGAAATTTTCAGAAATGAATAAGGATTTGATTGAGAGCTGGCATGATATGAAAAATGACCTGGCTCACTTAACCTCGGGTCTGCTTCCACCTTACCATAAACACTAGTGAGTCTATCCAGTTTGCTTATCAAATGTTCGGCCGTGAAATAAATCCACGGAGTTTAGCAGAAGTGTTTCCTGTGAAGATGGCACTTTGGCTAAATGTGTACTCGTTAGTACCTGAGTGGAGCCAGGAATGCTAAGGCGATTCCCCCCAGCTTCCTCTTCCCCACAAATCAGTTTCCTATTCCACCCATGTCATCTCCTAGTGTAATCTGGGAGCTCAGTACCCTCATCCTTTGTCCAGGATCTCCTCAATCAGGCAATTTTTACATGTGTTGTGGCATTTTCCAGGATGAATAAACTTAACTTGTCCAAAAGCCAAAACTTAAACAATTTACCTGAAAAGGATATTTTCTAACCCATATACATGTACAAAGTAGTTTGAAGAGCTACGAATAGCCTAGAAGTAACCAAGACACTGCTGTTCCTTCTCCAAAGCTGTGTTTTCTTTTGGGCTTAAGTCCTGCTATCTCATTAACTAAGACTCTTGACTCCATTTTAGGCTAAATTTTGTCATCAGATTTTAAACAAATGAAAACAATTATTCAATTGGAAAATAAATTGTAAATTAACATTGGAAGCCCAAGTCTTTAAATAACAGTATCCACAATCCATTACTTTTAATGGGAATATGTCTGCATTCATGGCCAGGAAGTGTTGCCCTTGATGTATAATTAGTATCTGAATTACATACTCCAGATAAGCCATCTACATTCATAAAAAACAAAAACAAAAACAAAAAAACAACTGCAATTGTTACTGTAATCAAAAGCTAAAGCCCATGCAAGAGAGACAGTGTACAACCCAGTATAACTCATGTAAACTGCAAGCTTTAGTCTCTCTACCTATTGAGTATAAAGACTCTGGAGCTAAACTGCCACCTAAGACACCTCTGTAGAATGGAGATAATAGAGATAATACTAGTACCTTCCTCCTAGGGTTGTTATAAATACTAAGTAAGAAAAAAGAAAGAAAAAAAAATATATATATATTCTTAATATATATTGTAAGGGTGACACGTAGTATATGCTACACAAGTATTAATTATCATCACTATTAATGTTGTTATTATCTGTAAACTGAAGAGAGTTTGGACCAGATGATGTCTAAAGTTCCTTCCCCCTGAGAAAATCTGGGACTAACTCAGGAGTCAGGATTTTCCATCTGAAGTATTTAGTGCTTGGCCGTATTGAAGAAACTATCCTGATTGAGGAATGAACTGATTTGCCCATCACAGCGTGAGTTATCCTCTGAACTCAGACCAGAAACCAGGTCTCCTAACTCCTAGTTCCAAGTGTTTCTTTATTCCAGGCTGTTTTGCTGAGAGACCACACTAACTTGTGGACTTTTACTCAGTCTGACATGTTCTCCTTTGCTGAAATGGAGATTTAAAAACAGCAAAGTGTCTAAGATCTTACACTTGCCAAATCCACTCGTGAATCAGAGTCAAAAGCAGTTAGTTGGTGAGCAGTTGGCAAGAAAGCAGCCACTGCCCTCTACTGGTTAGTCACACACGTTGTATCATTCACTTCCACTTCGGAATGCTGGACCCACACAGGTAGGGGTGAATGGGAACGATTTTTAGGATGAAGTGAAATAACAACATACTGACCATAATAATAGGTGAAAAAGCAAGTTCTGGAGGAGAACACTATAATCTTCTTCTCCCCCTTTTTCGCATAGGGATCCTCCTGTTTCTCTGTGAACAGTTCATCATTTTTTTCATATATGCAAAACTTGATTTACATTCTGAAATCTGTCTTCTCTAGTGACACTCTTTTATAGGAGACAGTTCACAGACTTATTTACACACTGCTCATTTATGACTTCCCGTTATTTTTGTCTTTTTTCTCCTCTTTACAGAAGTCATTACATTCTAAGACACATGATTTACTGGCTTCTCCCTCTTCCTCTCAGTTTCTTTTGTCTTTCCTTTAAATTCTTTTCTATTGTTTGTGTTCTAGTGCTCTATTTTTATGATATTGATTTGTATTGTTTTGTTGCTGTGTGTTGTAAATAGGGCCATTAAGATTTATTGTTCCAGTGTCCCTAAAGCAAGCATGTTAAATTCAAAGGCTAACTCGGGCCAAATAAACAAGGTTTAAGTTTATATGGGCTGCAAAAACTTCAATTTTCACAGAAACGTAAGTTTATTTCTATAGAGACATGCTGAATACAAAGGGCTGAAATAAATGAGTAATCGTTTACCTAAAATAATAGAACACTTTAATAAAAATTAATACTTTTTCTTGAACATTAACTTACCAGATACTGAATAACTGCACAAATTAATAAGTGTAATGCAAATAAACCTACTTTTCTTGTTCTCCAAAAACTAAATATTTCCTGTTGTGCACACCAAACAAGTCAGTCCTCAGTCCAAGACTAATGACGTGGCCATCGGCTGCTAAAATATTCACTGCTAGTATTAGTGTTGAGAAATGGTGCACCTGCATGTAAAGGAAATGAATGCGACCTTATAATATCTTCCAAGTCCCTATATTCTAGTATAATAAGAACTAAGGTTAGCTAGCACTAACTTTTAACTCTTCCTAAATGCTCAACTCATTTAATTCTCACAAAAGCCTATGGAATAGATAGTACCTTCCTCATTTTACAATTAAGGAAACCAAAACACAGAGCGGTTAAATAACTTACCCAAGATCACACAGCTAGTAAGTAGCAGGCCTGAGGTTCAAACTCAGTCATTCTGGTTCCAGAGTCCATCTCTTAACCACTGAACTACGTATGGTGACATAGTAGGCCTTCGGTAATGCTTGGTCTGCTATTTGCAGGAAAGCACTACAGAAATGCATTGCTGTTGTCATAAAACCACTTCCTTATTTTTCAAGAGTAAAACTTAGGTCAGTGTATATGACAGGTGTGTCCTTATAAAAATGCCAAGAGGCTGTGCCCATCATCTCCCACACCTGTCTAGGTCAATATTTGTTCATTCCAAGGCATTGGTGCAAAGGCAGGGAAGAAGGTCAAGGTCAGGAGTGTCTTTGAAGTCACCTAGACTTATTGCTAACTGCTGGCTTTGCCTGTCCTTCATCTTCCTGTTCCAAAAAAACAGAATAGTTCCAAATTGTTTGTGTAAGTGCATAAAGATCCTAAACCTGGATCAGCGTGATGCTTTCTACTTGTTACTCTAACGCATATATTAAGCAGGAAAAAACACCAATTACCCAAAGAGCCTGGCTTTTCATGTCCTGATCTCCTGTTTTCTGCTTAGAACACCTTGCACAGAATATATCTAAATCACATCTGGAAACTTGCCAATACTTGAGAGAAGAGCTCCAGCAGATAACGTGGCAGACCTTTCTGCAGGAGGAGATTGAGAACTATCAGAACAAGGTATACTCTGGAGGATGTAAAGTGGGAGGGGTTTTCCCGGATGGGATTTGATCAAGACTACCAAGGGCCAAAGGAGGAATCCCTTACAACAGAAAACAGATTTCTGTATACCTCTTGCTTCCAGAGCTGATTATGTACTAGAGGCATTGTCTTCTGACTGAAATGCCAGCATGCAAAATTTCAGCAGTAGCAAACAAATCCCATTGTCCCTATAACTGTACCCACATCTCCTATCATTGGACAACAGGGCACTAAATTAAGCAGTTTCCAGAAATCTCAATGAATTGGGATTTGTTCCTCTATCATGATGGAACATTGATGCAAGATCTGCAAGTTCATGTAAAATACGTCTTAGCCTCATGTTCCAAGAGTATAAGAAGGAGTTTAGAGAGTATGTATACAGAGAGGTTTGGAATCCATGATTGTCACTCCAGTCTGAACCTGATAATGTGAGGCTGACAAGTGTTGCTACTTGACTTTTTTTCTATTAAACAGTGTGATCAGCAAGCGACCAAACTGGGAGGGCAGGGCTGGAGAAGAGAACTTTCGATTATTTAGTCTCCCTTTGGGTAAAGAAAATGCTGTGTTTTCTCCTGATACAGAAATTGAGACTTAAGAAGGACTATAGAGAGTATCTAGGCTAATGCTGCCCTTCGTTTTACATCGGAGGACACTAATTTCCATCGGGATATAGTGGGAGAGTGCAAACACCAGGACTAGACCAGGACTCCAGTTCCTAATTCAGTGTTCCTTCCACCCCACCATATTGGTGGAAACGGTCTTATACTAAGGTTGGGGGAACAGCCAAACACCACCACTGGTTCAGGTTATCCTGTCACTAAATTGGAGAATTAAACAGGACAGGTTGGGGAATAGCAGCACACCCTTGGTTTGCCTTTGATATAGCACATAACACCAGCAGCTAAAGGGAAGTACTGCAGGAAGCAGGGAAGCAGGAAAGCAGTAAACAGCAGCCAAGTGTCTGGAAAGGGATTCAGAGTCAGAGATGCTAGGATGTGACTCCCAGCTCCTATCACCTATCCACTATGAAATCTCCCTGAGCACCTGTGCCCACCTATGAAAACTGGAGGATGCTCTTGTGAAAACGAAATAATAAGACAAGGTGTCATAAAGCACCTAGCTCATAACAGGTACACAATACTTGTATTTGAGTCTCTCCTCTCCCTCCCATTGTTCCCTTCTCCTAGTAAAAGGTGTTAAATTCCCCAAGGCAGAAGAATTGCTTAAAAGAAGGCCCTATTTTGCTATTTTCCACAGCTCGGGGTTAAAGCAGTGACCTGTATTTTCATCTTCTGCTACATACCCGTGTTTCCCCAAAAATAAGACATCCTCCAAAAATAAGACCTAGCACATGGAAAGATAAGACATCCCCTGAAAATAAGACCTAACGCAACTTTGGAAGAAAAAATTAATATAAGACACTGTCTTATTTTCGGGGAAACAGGGTAGATGCTCATAATATCTTCCCCGTTCCCGTAAGAGAGGAATTGAAGGAGATTAGGAGGCACTTGGAAGCAATCGTTATGTAAAAAAACTGGCCAACTGTTTACTTTTAAACCCCTAGCCTTTTTGAAGCCATTTCCAAAGAAGGATTTTACTAAAGAGGAATAGTTAAACTCATGGAGCCAAGGATGTGGGTAACCGTGTAGGCTAACCTGTCTCCCTCTTTAACAGCAGCGGGAAGTGATGTGGCAGTTGTGTGCCATCAAAATCACAGAAGCTATACAGTACGTGGTGGAGTTTGCCAAACGCATCGATGGATTTATGGAACTGTGTCAAAATGATCAAATTGTGCTTCTCAAAGCAGGTATGTGCTTTGCAAGTGAATTTTGAGATCTCTTCCTAACCTGCTTTCACCTGCCTATTAAAGAAATGCTTGGTAAGGAAGGTGTCGGGAACAGTTTTTCTCCGATGATAATAGCTTAGGTTTCTCTTAGCAGAGACTGAGTTCTTCTGAAAGGTTTTGGAGCTATTGGCACGAAACATTCCCTCCGTAGTCTTCTCCTCTGAGTGGAAAGATTAATTTGAAGAACTCCTGCATTCCCTAATTTTACCATCACCTGTGTTTTATTTTACACTTCATGTCCTCAGAGGTTCCAATACGTTGTTAGGAAAAAGACTCGAACCTCAGAGAGAGCCCTGATTTTTTTTTTTTTTTTGCCTGATTTTTACATTTTTTAATTGATTTTTAAAAAGGGAATGGGGGAATGAAGAGAGAGAGGGGGGGGGAGAGGGGGGGGAGAGTGGGGGGGGGGGAGAGAGAGAGAGAGAGAGAGAGAGAGAGAGAGAGAGAGAGAGAGAGAGAGAGAGAAAGAGAGAGAGATTTTGTTTCACTTATTTATGCATTCATTGGTTGGTTCTTGTATGTGCCTGGGATGGAACCTGAAACCTTGGCAGATGAGTTCAGTGCTCTAACCAACTGAATGACCTGGCCAGGGCTTTTTGCTTGTTTTAATAAATATGAATAAATGTTGATTATCAACTCTGAAACTTCTTATTGCAAGATAGAGGAGTGGCAAAGCAAAGAAGTGATTTGTAAATCCCTCCTCTCTTCTGTGAAGCAGGCCTTGGCTTCAACACTTCTAGACCGAGAGGGAATGTGACTGAGAGCCCACTGGCTGCACAACCCCCAGGCGCTAACTCAGAAACGGGTCTCTACCTCAGTGCCTTTGAAATAAACTCGCCCAGGTGGACTAACCCCCGCCCTCCTGCCTTTGCTTAGGTTCTCTAGAGGTGGTGTTCATCAGAATGTGCCGTGCCTTTGACTCTCAGAACAACACCGTGTACTTTGATGGGAAATATGCTAGCCCTGATGTCTTCAAATCCTTAGGTAAGGAAACCTCTGGCTGTTTGTCTTTAAATCGGAGTCACAGAAGCAGGTGGGAGCTGGGTGAAACCTCTTTTTGAACAATGTGGTTATTTGGAAATAATAATTAAAGAATTTTATACCTGTTTTACTTTATAACCAGACACTATAGAAAATTCCCATGCCTCCGATGCTTTTTGCCTATAGTACCGATAAAGATCTAATGTTTCATTTTACCTAGTTGGTAACTGAAGACATTTCTATTACATATTAGTGTCCTTCCAGATTTTAAGATCCAGATAAGCAGGGGGCATATTATCTAGATAGATTACAAGATGTGATCTGATACATCAAATCAAGCAAAGAGCTCAAAGTCTGCCCTCAGGTAATTATTAATGAGAATTAAGTGTAGATCTCAGAGAAATAAAGTATTACTGAAATAAAGTAAAACTGACATACACTTTATAAATAATTTATATTGGATTTTTATAATTTAAATAAAGTAGGTCATAGTTATTAAGAATGGGACAGTATCCAAGATAGCTTATGTGAATTTAAAAACACCAAAATGACAGAAGGGGTGTATAGCCTGTTTCCATTTAAAATACAGGGTGGTAAAAGTAGGTTTACAGTTGTGAGTACATGAAAGTTTATTCTTGAAATATTATTATTGTATTATTTTCCATACAATAATGTGTGTGTGTGTGTGCGCGTGCGTGTGTGTGTGTGTGTGTGTGTGTGTGTGTGTGTAAATATAATGTGCAAATCTGAAAAAATAGACACCAAACTTAACCAGTCTTTGGGAAATGGATCATTTTTTTTATAGGACTTTCACATTCTATAATTTCAGTTCTGTACCAGTTACAATGATTTTTCCAATATAATGTCATTTGTTAGTATTTAGAGGAAATAAAGACAAATATCAAAATGAGAGGTTTTCATATTTTAGTAAGATTGTAGCTGCTAAACTCCGTTAGTTAAGAGTGTGAGCTCTGAAGTCAAGCACCCTGACTTAGAATCTCAGGTTGTTACTTCCTATCTGTATAACATTAGGTACATTAATTTCCTCTCCAACTTTGATTTTTTTCACCTCTAACATGGGGATAATAAAAATAATACGTCCTTAATAGGGCTGCTGTGAAATATTATAGTAGGAAACCCAGAGAAATTTCTTAGAGCAGTATCTAACATAGGAAATACTCAACACAAGTTTACTCTAATTAATTTGAATGGTGATATAATGATGATGATGGTAGGGATGGTGGGGTAGTGATGTGATGTTGGCTAAACAGATGTTTCTTCTAAGATTTCAAACTCTTAAACTGTAGAAATATTACCACTATCTCTTTTTACCTTCTTTCATATTTTTTCCTAGGATAACCAAAATCCTAAACTCTCTGTATTTTAATGTTGGCAGGTTGTGAAGACTTTATTAGCTTTGTATTTGAATTTGGGAAGAGTTTATGTTCTATGCACCTGACGGAAGATGAAATTGCATTATTTTCTGCATTTGTACTGATGTCAGCAGGTAACATAACCAAATAAAAATAAAATGGTTTAAAAATTGTCCAGGTAAAGACTTTTTACAAGGTCCATAACTTTTAGAATATTCAGGAGGCTGCCAGAGGCTGCCTCACTTATTAAGTCTGTTTTTAACTTTTTCAAATAACAACCTTCCCACACACACACACATATATCTCCTTTTAAGAAGACTCGTGCCATTCTGATAAAATCTTGAGAAACGAGAATTGAGTAAAACCCAGTCCACAATTAATCTCCTGACACCAAGAGAAATGGTGTGGTGGAGTCAAGTTGCCCTTCTTAATATCAGTCTCTAAGATAACATCCAACCTTTCCCAGGAATCCACTTGGATGTCATCTACAAGTTTATGTGCATTTAATCCATGTTTTACCCTTCACCAGCACTGCCTCTTAGAGATCATCAGTTTACTATCTTTGAATTCTTCAAATTCTTACACATAAAAAATTCATCCTAAATTACCAACTTTTAAGTCATCTGGAATTCTATTGACAGTTTTAGTTGCCTTGTAAGATTGTTTCCATAATTTCCAGAAAGGCTAGCAGAATTGCTATGAATATTTTGTTCAGAAATGTTATTCTCAGAAAGGCTTGAAGGGCCATAGTGATTTAATTGTACTTGCATATATATGACCTTAGGTTTATATTGCTACCTTTTTTGGAAGGAGATAACCCTCCCTTCCTTTAAGTACCAGTAAGAATTGAAATGTTTAATACCCTTTATACCTGTCATAGGCCAGTTTTCCAATCCCTTAGGAATATACAGTATTTTGAAAGAATAGTGAAACTGGCCTTCTAGTCTCTAACTCTGCTTTGTGGTATGATACTCTGGGTCCAACAGTCAGGAGAAATTGGGTATCTGGCACCATGTTGGAGGAACACTAAGGGATATCATTTCTCATGTACAGATCGCTCATGGCTGCAGGAAAAGGTAAAAATTGAAAAACTGCAACAGAAAATCCAACTAGCTCTTCAACATGTCCTACAGAAGAATCACCGAGAAGACGGAATACTAACAAAGGTGAGAACCAATAGTTTCCAGTTGGCATAACTTGAATTACCCCTTGCCTTTGCAGGTCATCTGACCAGCCCCCAAAAGTATCAGTAAGCAACAGGCCACTGAAAGGAATAAATATCTCCATTTCAAAGAAGTTCTGTTTGGCCAAACTTCAGGTTAAATTCTATTTATTATCATTGCTTATAAAGTGCCCTAAAGTAATAGGAAAATAATGTAGTAGAATTTTTTTAACAATTAATATATTCTGGAAATCCTCTTCCTAGTCCTTCAGAGTTGGAACACAAAGCTGAGTTAATGTGATAGAAATTCGAGAATCTTTGAATGTTGAAAAAGAAAATTATGAAGTACTAAAACAATTACCCAGGATAACCTTATATTCTGATATTAGTTCAATTTCCATTAAACTCATCAAGTCATCAACCATAAATGACTTTTGTATTTTCTTCATCAATTTGCCATTACTACGTTGTATTCAAAGCACAAGGTTGCATTTTTGCTAATTATTATGTTTCACAATAAAAGCATAATTAGGATGTCAGTTTAAAATATGCTAATGTTCTTCAGTGCTAGAGCCAGGAGTATGTATTTGGTCTTAGAAAAATCAGCCCCTTCTTAGATTATTTTATGTGTTTTGTTGTTCCAGAGGATGATTTGAAAGTGTGGTTTTTTTTTCTTCTTGTTTGTTTATTTATTTATTTACTTTCTATTTTCTCCTGATAGCTAGGTTAGGTCAGGGAGCAGAAGTTGGGGGTTAATGGTTGCTTTGTTTTTGATACTCTTTCTCAAGAAGAAATTCATTGCCTGGTATTCTATAATATAACTCTATCCCCATTTATTTTTACTAATCCTCTATTACTAGACATTTAAGTTGCTTTAAGTGCATTTTGCCATTATAAACAGTGTTGTAAAGATCATCCAGATTCCCTGAATTTTGATTCTAATGCCTGTTCTCCCCTGACAACTTGTCCTTTCTTCCACCTTACAGTTAATATGCAAGGTGTCTACATTAAGAGCCTTATGTGGACGACATACAGAAAAGCTAATGGCATTTAAAGCAATATATCCAGACATTGTGCGACTTCATTTTCCTCCATTATACAAGGAGTTGTTCACTTCAGAATTTGAGCCAGCGATGCAAATTGATGGGTAAACGTATCACCTAAGTACTTCTAGAATGTCTGAAGTACAAACATGAAAAAAACAAAAAACAAAAAATATTAACCGAGACACTTTATATGGCCCTGCACAGACCTGGAGCGCCAACACAACTGCACATCTTTTGGTGATCGGGGTCAGGCAAAGGAGGGGAAATAATGAAAACAAATAAAAGTTGAACTTGTTTTTCTCATGCATATGATTTCCATTATGCCTACAGATATGGACCCTTTTTCTGTCTCGACTTCTTGATCATTGACCTCTGTTTACAACAGAAGGAGGGTACTAAAGTTGGAGGATTTCCTTTTCTCGTAGCTCACTGCCCACAGACTTTCTGCAGAGTCACCAACCTGTTAGCGACAAGAGAGTCCAGCAATAATCGGTGACCGGTGTGCATAGCGGAGGTTGCGGCATTACTTTGCACAACTTGCTCTTTGTCTCATGAAGGAAGTTTTTATTTTTTTTTTCCACCGATTATTGCCAGTCGGCAGGATGGCACGTAAAGGGTCCATAGCACTAGCAACAATAGCATTATAATATATTACAGGGTAAATGGGCATGAAGACTATATATAGCTAAAAGAGATATTGTTTATATATTGTTTTAATTAATATAAAATGTAGTTACTGGTGTAGCTTTTCCTGTTGAATTGATAAGGCACTTTCATTTTGCACCTTTTTCTTTAAATTAAATGCTAGCGTGTTCACTGTCGTGTCGCATGTGCACCAGAAACACAAGTTTAACTGAGAAGGCTTGGAAGGTACGTCGGGAGGTATTTATGCTGCTGTTTACAAAATTACTTTCAAAAGACTGGCTGGTCATATCTAGAAATCACAATGTTGGATTATTATTTTTTTACGTGTGAATTTGGAATTAGAAACTGAACTCCCCCTAAATTTCACCTTGCATTTGGGTAAGTTTAAGGATAGATGTGTTTATGCTTCATACAAAGTTGAATGATTGAGATTGGCGCTGTGGACTTATACCATCATGCATATTATTTTTTTTTTAAAAAAAGCTTTTCTAAATGCAACCTACAGGAGGCAGGGGAGGGGAGGCTCGTTTTATACAATTCAGTAGTTATGTAGACTCAGCCTCAACTTGGAATTCATATGCTTTGAGAACAAATCAGTAACCAGAATAGTTTATTGGAAATCTAGCTTTGATTATAAGAAGGACCCAAAGATTTATATGTGGAGCAAACACACACTCCCCACATGAGGACATAAAGCATTTCCTCTGTGAAGTATATGTTCTTGGTATAATCTAGGAACGGTAAGGGTGGATCTCAGAGTGAACTATTTCTAGACTCACTGCCTCTAGATGCTATAATTCTAGAACATGGCTCTCCATATTTCACAGACAATGAGTGAGAGGGTGAGGGAGGCATACCATGTTGAATTAGCTTCTATTATTTAAATATTAAATATTTTAAGCCTTTAAAGTGAAGTCAGTGCTAACTGCAAACATGTACTTTTATATTTATCGTTGCTAGAAAACTGTGGACTGTAATTTATTTCATTAAATATTTAGAAGATTGTTTGGCTTTGGTGTTCAGGTGAGAAATAGTGAGGGTTTTGTTTTTTGTTTTTGTTTTTAAATTTCGTAGATTTTTAAAAATAATTCCCAGTGGGGGAAGGGAGAAGGAACTGTCTGACACACAAGTGAGCATATTTTAAAAATAAGTGACCTTTGGGATTGTAGGCATTGAGATGATGATTTGAGTCCCACTCCCAATAAGAAGAGTCAGCCTTCTGGTCTGCCATCACAGGCCATGTTTGTTCAGGAAAGGGAACACCCTCTTATCGTGCGAAGGCGGGGTGTCCAGGAAGCCCTTTATAGTGGAGAAAGTGTCTCCTGGACCCCCAAGGCCCTTCTGACTCTCCTTGGGGACGGTGGCTTCTGGTGTCAGGCTAGATCCCAGCACAGGCTTCCCAGAGTCCTCCACTCTGCTCAGACCTCCGCTGACTTCCTGACTTGCTTCCTGAGGGACTTGGAAAAGGAGAAGGAATTATTCACACAGAAGTGTGTATGAAGCCTAAATGACATCTAACTTTTGTTCCCCCCCAAAAATATAGTAAGGGTTTAACCATAAATAGAAGACAAGAGTATTATTTACTTAAATTTCTTACAAGCATATAAAACTTTATGAGTGTTTATATAGAGAGGTTAACTATAAGCATATAGTATTTATATTTGGGCAGGAGGGGTTAAGTCAAATTTTTAATTTAAATAAGCATAGTTCCTTTAAAGAGCAATAGTATTTATACTCTGAAAAAAGTTATCAAGCTTAGTTATTTATTTGTCTGCGTTTCTCCTATTGTTTCTCCTTTGGGGAGAAATGGTGTATTTTTATTTTGGTTTGGTTTTGTTTTCTTTGTATTTTTGTCGTTCTGATTCACTAAATTTGGGGGTGGTTTTATTAAAGTATATTAACTTCTTTTTAACCAAAGCTTTCTGAATATGACCAGCCTCAGGTGCTAGCGCATTAAAGAGCAACTAAACCTAATTCCAGTGTCCATTTATGAAATGAAAAGAGTTCGTTGAACTTCTTTAGGGGTGAGAGAGAACATAATGTTGAACTTAAAAGAAATTCTTTTTCCCATAAAGGATTTTGCATGTACATAATGCAAAAAATAAAAAAATAAAAATGATGCTCTAATCACAGTAATAGTCACACCATGGTGACAGTGCTTTTAGAGTAAACCAACATTCGTTGACACGATGCTGCTACTAGATCTTTGAGAAAGAAAAGCAGGTGTGGACTTTAAGAGCAAAATACTTCTACAGGGTAGGAACAGAGGATAGCAGAGGCATGTTCAGTGACGGGAGGGAACAACTGACTATTATTTGGATCAAAGTTGGGATCTGAAGTTAAACAATAAATTCAGCTGAAAAAATCTGACGTATTGAAAGGAATGTGAAAAACTTTGCATTTTCATTTTCTTCCTTCTTATAGAAACACCTGTGTGATGATACAAACTATTTGGTGATCCAGAAAATTATCCGTAATAGTTCTTATAAAACTCCCTAAACTTAAACAGTCCTTTGATTATTGGAATCACGTCATTGTCATCACAGCTGCTGTAAGGCCTTTTATACAATGTTTTACATCAGCTAAATGAGGCTTTTGTACAGAGTCCCAATGTCATCGGTTCCAATGGTGTCCAAATGGTTGCATTCTATTGTGAAGAAACTGGCTTTGGTCACAATGAAATCAAAAATGCAGATGAAAGTGCTTTTTTGGGACAGTTTGAAAATTGTGTTAAAGCTATGGTTTTTTTTTTTTTTTTTAAGTGTTCAGCATCCTAATTTACGTTAAAGCTATAGATTTTTTTAAATTTTTTTTTAAGTATTCAGCATTCTAATTCACCCTTCCTAACTTAAGGAAAACATGACTTAAGACACTGCTTCTAAGTTTGGTTGTTCTTTATAGTGTGGATACCCAGATGTCTGTGAGCGTATAAGGGTAGGCTGAGGGTCAAGTGAGGAGGGAGTGAGTGTGTGTGTGTGTGTGTGTGTGTGTGTGTGTGGTTTTCGTGTATGACATGCGTGTGTCAGACCGCTTCTAGGCTACTATGTGTCAATGGAAAAGAAAATGTATTCAAAATACTTAAATCAAAAAAACTAGAAGATGGGAATAAAAAGATTTATTCTATACAAAGCCTTGTCTGGACCACTTTAGAGAGACTTCTATTTTTTTAACCCTTCTATAAATATTTGATGGCACTTGAAATATTCCTGCAATAAAATGTGATTTGTGTAAAGAAAAAAAAAAGATTTTGTAATGTGAAACAAAGAAAGAAAGTAATGTAATTTTCTAAAAAAAACATACAAACAAACAAACTTTGTATTATTTTCTTGATGGAATTTGTCTATCTGTCTTTGGGAAACTTTTTATTTCATTGAATGTGCCATAGTAGAGATATGTGTTTTTAGTTTTAGACTAAGGAATAGCTGTTTGTGTTCCGACATTCCAAAATGCAAAACAACCTAGTAAAATCTTTAATGAAAAGGTTTAAGTAGGATGTAAGCTTCTCTCATCGTTGCTTTTTTGCACATGTTCTTCATTCCTCTCTAGTGCAATATGTACATAGAGCACTCGCGGGTGTACCTTGATCCCTCAGGGAAAAATACATATTTGTACAGTTGTTATTGTTGTTTCTTTTTGTTTTTGGCTAAGGAATGTCGACTGAATCACTTGTTATTGTTGAGGGGCAGCCAGATAATAATCCTAAAGCCACTGTTTCCAACATTGATTGTTCAAATCATGTGTCCTTCCAGTGCTATTAAGATACTAATAATAAAAAAGTTATTTTCTGACAGTTCTTTGTGCTGATTGGTGACAAACAAACAAAAAAAAAGGGTACATAAGCACCTTATGATTGACTTACTGTGAATGACAATCCATCTTGATATCAACAATAGGAAGCCCTATCATTTTGGAGTTGGGGTTAAGAGTCAGAAACAATGTGCTCAGGGATCTTCTAAAACTCTTTAAAACAGGGTGGCCAGTACTACTGGGACAAATTGTGTTTTTTATTATGAATAATCACGATAATGCTATCCCTCCAAGGCACAGTGAACTGTGTAGAACTAACTGCATGTGTGTAAACGTCTCTATCATCTCATTATGTTGAGTTCAAAACGTGTGCTCTTCAGTCTTGTGTACTTAAAAACACTGAGTAACTTCCAGGACTGTGGGAAGTTATGCCAGTGTGTTCAAAAGATAAATGAGCAGGTCATCCACCAACAGAAAGCATCATTCAGAGGACAACCCTGCATACTCCATATACCGTTTCTCAAATAGTTAAAATATTTATGATAAATATGTATAGCCTTCTACAATATATTAAAAACTACTCCCAATTCCACATAATACGGATAAAAATGTTTAAAACAAAGGAGATAAGGGTCCTGTCTATCAGTGGCGTGAGAGAGATAAAAGGTAAAATACGTTTTTTTCTAATAGCAAACAACTACTAATTTCTCTGT